TCCCTCCATGCTGCCAAACAAGCCTACTTCCTGACCCTCAATAAGACCCTCTCCTCCAATCCTCGCCGGCTCTTCTCCACCTTCAACTCTCTACTCTCTCCGCCCCCCACCTCCACCCAGCACCTCACTCACCGCCCTCGAGATTGCCAATCACTTCAAAAACAAGATTGACGCAATTCGCAAGGACATCACCGCTGCTCAAACTTCCTCCCCACCCATCCCCTCTCACACAGCAACCCCCTCATAACACCTCTCCCTCAGCCTCACCACTGTTCAGACCTCCACCTCACCTAACATTCCTCACACTGAAGCCCCCTCAATACTCCACTCCTTCGACCTTACTACCATTGAGGAGGTCACCAAGGTCTTCTCTGAAGCCCATCCAACCACCTGTCCCCTCGACCCTGTCCCCTCACAACTCCTACGACCTCCCTCCTCCTCCGTCCTATGCTCCCTCACCCACATCTTTAATCTCTCTCTCTCTCTTCCAGCGCATTCCCCTCCCTACTGAAGCACGCGCACATCACTCCCATTCTTAAAAAACCCTCCCTGGATCCTATCGACCTGAACAACCTTAGACCCATCTCCCTGCTGCCATTCACATCCAAACTCCTCGAGCGCCTAGTCTACACCCGCCTAAGCTCCCACCTCAATGACAACAACCTCCTTGATCCCCTACAGTCCAGCTTCCATCTCCTATACTCCACCGAAACCGCCTTACTGAAACTCTCCAACGACCTGCTAACCGCCAAAGCTAATGGCCACTATTCAGTGCTCCTACTCCTCGACCTCTCCGTGGCTTTCGTCACAGTCGACCACCCCCTCCTCCTCAAAAAAACTACACTCCCTTGGCCTCAGATATTCTGTTCTCTGCTGGCTCTCATCCTACCTATCACAACGCTCCTTCAGCATTACCTATAATGCTACCACCTCCCCCTCACTCCCCCTCTCTGTTGGGGTCCCTCAAGGCTCTGTCCTCGGGCCCCTTCTCTTCTCCATCTACACCTCCTCCCTTGGCTAACTCATACACTCTCACAGCTTCAACTACCACCTCTATGCCGACAACACACAAATCTATCTCTCGACCCCTCGCCTCACCCCCTCAGTATCCGCCCGAATCACAAGCCTACTGAACGACATATCAGATTGGATGTCTCTCCACTTCCTTAAACTGAACCTCTCCAAAACAGAGCTCCTAGTCTTCCCCCCAGCCCACACCTCCCCAACTGACTTCTCCATCAGGTCCAACAATGCCACCATCAGGCCCATCCTGCATGCCAGAGTACTTGGTGTCATTCTTTACTCCAATCTATCCTTCCAGCCCCAAGTCCAATCACTAACTAACTCATGCAGACTCCACCTCCGCAACATCGCCAAAATACGCACGTTCCTAACCCCAGAAACCACTAAGCAGCTCATCCACTCCCTCATCATATCACGACTCAATTACTGCAACTCCCTCCTCACTGGCCTGCCGCGCCACAGGCTATCCCCGCTTCAGTCAATCCTGAATACGGCAGCCAGACTCATCCACCTTACCAACCGCTCCGTTTCTGCCACCCTCCTCTGCCAATCCCTCCACTGGCTTCCGATTGCCCAATGGATCAAATTCTAAATCCTAACACTGACGTACAAAGCGGTCCATCATACTGCCCCAAACTACATCACCGACCTAATATCCAAGTACCACCCTACACGCACTCTCTGCTCCTCTCAAGACCTCCTTCTCTCTAGTTCCCTAGTCTCCTCCTCCCATGCCCGCCTCCAGAACTTCTCCAGGGCATCACCCATACTCTGGAACTCCCTACCCCAATCCATCAGACTATCACCTACGCTCCTTTCCCTTAGGCACACCCTGAAAACCCACCTCTTCAGGGAAGCCTACCCCACCCCCTGCTAATTCCCGACCTCCTCCACTCTTCCTACCACTCCATCCCCCACAGCTATTTCCTCCTTTACCACTATCCCATCCCTCCTAGATTGTAAGCTCCATGGAGCAGGGCCCTCGAACCCCTCGTGTATCGCATTGTATTGTTATTGTACTGTCGCATGTTCGGTTTCCCATTGTAATGTACAGCGCTGAGGGAACTGTTGGCGCTTTAGAAATACTGTATAATAATAATAATGTCACCCCCACGCATACTACTGCTTTAAGTGAGAATTGCTGATTAGGAAGAGGTTTTTTTTTCTCATCCAGCACTTTTCTAAGAACCTGTCTATTATTGGATATACATCTGAGCAAAATGCACATGTACATACACCTCTACTCTCTAAAATAGTGAATTATACATACACTCTGAAAGCTGTGGACATGCATAGGGGGATGCATGTCAAGCCAGTTATGCTTTAATAGTGCTATTGATGCCCTAGGTGCAGACTTATATAATCTAAACCAGTGGTCTCCAAAAAAAAAAAATCTTCATCACCCCCCACAAGTAGTACAGTGTAGTGCTAGGGTGACATTATGGGTTACAGTATGTTTAAAAAAAACACAAATAATAATATTAAAAAAAATAAAAAAAATTATAATTTTTTGGTGATATTCTAATTTCTTCTCCCACTGCCTCTTCTCCAGTTATTGGAATCATGCAAGGTGTTATAACCTCTGTCATTACCTTCTTCACCACTAGATGTCTCTGCTTCCCTAGAACTGTGCGCACTCACATTGTGGTTACTCTTCCACCTGGTCCATCTCTTGTTCTCTGACATGTGTACACCTGATCATTTTCAAAATCATTAAGGTCTCTAATGAATATGTGCCTTTTTTATCTTTGATTTTGTTCTTGTATTTTTCCACATGATTTTTCTGATTTTCTTCCAGCCTAGTATATTCTGTATGGCTCTTAAACTACAGCACCTTTTCCTGTTCTACCTATAACTTGCTATTAAGCTTCTCAAAAATGTTTCTCATAATCTAGGAGAAATTGCACACTTTGCAAGATGTTGCAAGTCTGCAGTTCCACCCAACCTTTCATATATTCCTTATCCTCAATGTGTAAATTCAGTTTATTATCTTAAACCCTAAACCGTAATCTCTTGTTTAATATTCTTATCCAAACTGGATACCTCCTACCATGAATGAACATGCTGTTTGTACAAATGAAGGCTTCATGCATACTAGTTGAAAAAAAAATGGCAGTGCTTTAGGCAGAAATAAGCTTATTTTGAGCAGTTTATGCTCTCAAAAATGCAAAATAGAAGGGTTTTTTTTCTGCCTTTAAATGCTGAGCTTAAAAAATGCCTTTAGACTACCTAATGTGGATGTGTCCCACATAGGATAACATTAATTGCTTCTAACAGGCAGAACGCTAAATCTTTCTGAGAGCATTGCTTTTTTTTTAAGTCCGTGTGCATGGAGCACACTATTGTTTAACCCTGCCAGAGCAGTTTTTGCATGTTTAAAAAAATAATTTTAGGCCTGAAGATTATGTAAAATAGCCAAAACATGATATATTTTCTGAAAGCTGACACCCTAGACAGTAAAATAGTGGAAGTTCCGATTTTTTATTTCACAAGATATTACTCCAAAGGTCTAGGAAATGCCACTTTTCAGTAAAAATACACTAAAGTTAATTTGAGGGCATACAAACACAATAAAATTACCCAAATGTTTTGGTAACTATAAAAAATGAGGTTGCTCCCAGTAAATTGATATCCAACATGTCAAACTTTAAATTTGCATGTGCCCGTGAAATGGCGACAAACTTCCATACCCTATATTTTCCATACACAATGCTTTAAAAGCCCCCTATAGATCATCTTAATGTTTAACGTTATGGTCTGGTGCTAGAAATATTGCTCTCATTCCACTGTGTGTGTTGATATGTAATATGTGTATAGCAATAAACATTTTCATGCATAGGTGCCCCCAATGCATGTCTTTATGTGGGGGTGGGGGGCCTCAAACATTTCTTTTGGGGGGGGGATTTTATGTGCTTGAGTGTAACTTTTTGCAAAAATCTTTTTACTTACCTTTTTTTTCTCTTGCAAAATGTCCCCTATGTGATGATTTTTTTGGTGACAGGTTCTCTTTAAGGAGGCATCCGGGGTCTAACCCCAGATGTCTCCCCTGTGCTCCATTGAATATAATGCAATGCAAATTACATTGCATTACATTCTTTCCCAGACATGCTGGCGATTGACACTGACAGGCGGACTCGGAAGTAAAGCCAAACACTTTCAAGGTCCACAACAAGAAGGGAAGGAGAGTCAATGGGTCCGCTTAGCACCCTCTCCCCATCAGCACCCACTATGCCAGTCCTGGGCCTGCAGATGGGCAAGTGGAGCCCAGGATACATGGCGGGGGGGCGCATGTTATCGGGGGTATGTGGAAGCAATTAGAGGGCAGAGCAGCCACAGAATGCTTCCACCTGACAGGAGTCTGCTTGTCAGATATACACACAATTCCAGTGGCAGAATGTGGGTAAACCCCCCCCCCCCTCCCCCGCTGTCAAGTCTGTATGACGTACAGATGGTTAAAGGCTTCCACTATTCCAGCTTCCCCACCTGGTGCTGGCAGTTCCTTTGTTGAGAAAACCTTATTTGCCTCTAAGGAAGATTCATCAAAACGTATTGCAGTATCTAGGAAACCTGTAACAATGTACTCTCCTAGAAAATGCCTGACATAAGTTAGCATAGACAATGTGTCAGGCTTGGTGGTCATTTAGAGTACAAGAATTAATTGTGCCCTATTGCTGGTGTAAGGGGAGGGAATGGTGCCACACCGTTTGGTGTCAGTGGAAGAAATGATGCCCATTTTTTAGTGTCATTGAAAAGAATGGTGCCTCATTGTTGATGTCTGTAGGAGGAATAGTGGATTATATCAGTGGGAGGAATAGTACCCAAGGGCCAGATCAATGCAAGCAGAGGGCCACATTTTGCCCACAGGTGATGAAGATTTTTTTTTTCTTTTTTTACACTGATTGCTTTTACACCAATAAAGCTGTAAAACACAATAATTTCTCCTTCTCTCTGGCTGTATTCCTACAGCCATTGAGAAATACTGTGCAAGCTGTGATTGGTCACAGCTTGTCACATGGTACAAGGCTATAACGTGAAGTGGAAAAATGTTGTGCTACATGAAACAATGGCACAATCCATTGTATAACCAAAAAAACAAAGTGAAAAAAATAATAATAATAATTAAAAAAAAATATATATATATAGGATAAGAAAAAAAATTGTAGAAAAAATATTAATATTGAAATAAAAATATAAATATATAAGTATATATAAAAAAACACACAAAAAATAAAGAATATTTTTACATGTGAATCAAACAAAAGTCATTCAAAAAATCAACAGTGCTTTATCTTTTTAAACTTTTATTCATCAATTAAAAGATATGAAATGCACTCAGGTTCCGGAGGTGTATTTTTCACCAGGTATGATGAAGATCCAGTGATGTACTGATTAGACACAAGATGGCAGTATCATCTCAGCAGCGGAGTCCTGTACATGCTCAAAACAGACACCATATGTATTGTAATGCAAGGCAAAGCAGGGGCCCACTCAATGAATGCTATTGCCTCAATAACATTCATTAAGTGGGCCCCTGCTTTTCCATGCTTTGCCTTGCATTACATTAGGAATGGTGTCTGTTTTGAGTATGTACAGGAGATGATACTGTCATCTTGTGTTTAATCAGTACATCACTGGATCTTCTTCATATCTGGTGCAAAATAGACCTCTTGAACGTGAGTGTATTTCATGTTTTAATTGATGAATAAAAGTTTAAAAGGATAGAGCACTATGTTGAGTTCTTTTTAATGAGGAATACGGCTGATACAAAGATGCTTATCAGGAGGGAGCTTACTTTGGTGTCTTCATTCAGCAAGCTGATCTTCTGAGTCCATATGGGACCAAAAGTGCAGTTAGACCATAACATTGTATAGTGTGAGGTCACACTGCGTGATGTGAGCAGATATATGGTGGAGGATGTCTTTGCACGGGAAGTGATGATAGATGCACATATTTTTCGTTATCCAAAGGAGGGTTCACTGAATGAACACTTTATTGATTGATCTTGATTTTTTGAATTACTTTTGTTTGATTCATACTTAAAAATATTCTTTATTTTTTATGTTGTTTTTGTTTTATTTATATATTATATAATATTTATATTTTTTTCAATATTAATAATTTTTCTACTATTTTTCTTCTAATATATATATATATATATATATATATACAGTATATATATATATATTTTTTTAACTTTGTTTTTTTGGTTATATAATGGATTGTGTCATTGTTTCATGTAGCACAGCATTTTTTTTACTTCACATTATGATTGTATAATTTGCCCCACTGAGACATGGGTTGAGTGTACTAGTGATTACAGTATTTAATTGTAATTTTTTTGGTTTTATTTCACCATAGTTAGCGCTTGAGTTATTCAATTTATTTTAGATTTCACATGGTACAAGGCTGTTGTGAATAGCCTTGTACCATGTGACCTCTGTGATCATTCACAGATTTCACAAGTAATTAGCAATGATGTCAGGAAGTGACATCTTGTTTACTACTATTCATGTGATCACTGGTTGGCCAATCAGTGATCACATGAATCAGGACCTCACACAGAGGTCCCGTACAGCGATCTGTGTATGCGGTGCCACACGCTCCCAGGGAGCATGCACAGGCAATGGATGCGGGGGGACATTTAGAAATGTTTAGAAATGTCCACCCACATCAGCAGTGCTCCCGTCCGGACATTTATCGGCATGGGCCAAATGGGAAGAGGTTAAGGGTGAATTCACACTATAGGGAGAGCTGCTGCAGCACTTTTCTACTGCGAGAGGTCTCTATTGCCTGCTACACTAGGGGGCAGTTTGGTGCATGATTCAGCACATGGCACAACCCCCCCTTTTTTTTCTTTTGTAAGAGCGTTATTTGAAGTATACAAAATGTACACTTCATTCACTGCAATCTCAGGTGGCGTGCTGTGCTTGGTAAAACATCTGTCACTGCACATAGTTTGAATAGGCCATAAGAAAGCTCTGGAAGATAAATTAATATCTAAGGATGAATATCAATTCCTCTTAAACAAGAGGACCACCATTGCCACCTTCTACACACTGCTAAAGGTGCATAATAACAGGGCGACCTATAATCTCTGGAAATGGGAACCTAATGTAGCACTACCCCCTTAGGAGATGCTGAGTTTTTTTTAGGTTCCCCTATGGTCCTGCACAGCCAGGCAACACGCATTTTCCATTCAGACTTGCATCCAGGATTTTATTAGGGGAATTAGAACTTGGATAGGGTAGGGTTGCATGGGATGCCCAAGGGTATAGCAACAGAGAACAATCTTCCTGAACTATGTACAAGTCTCTTTTAGCAGCAAAAGAACAAATCCTTATTCTTGGAGAGCCAGCCAGCATCTCCGGTAGTACCAACCCACATCCCAGATACTCCTTATCCAGCTGTTCCTTCCCCATACTGGCCCAGGACATGCAGGTCTACTCACTCAATCCTTTTCTTATGCTGCTGCTGGTTCAGTGGCTGCTCTCAGGCCCCCTGCTGGACCACTCCTTCCCTGCTGCATAGGTGGTCCTCACTCTGGGGGCCAGTGAAGCCCCAAAGCTTTCCTCTTTCCAAGATCCTCTGCCTGTAGGTGAGCCCCTCTCCATCTTGGCCCTCTTCCAGGCTCCTGCTCTTCAGCCGCACTTCTCCATTTTGCACGAGAACTCTCCCAGTTGCTGAGCAGTGGGCTGTCCTGGCCCCTTGCCAAGCCTCCTGTTAGGGACTGGCCAGGATCCCCTGAGACTGCAGACCACCCACTCCTCTCTCCCTCTGCTTCTAGAATTGTCTCCAAAACTCCAGAGCAGGGGGAAGTCCCAGAGAACTGGTCTGCAGAGCCTCTCAGCCCCTGACTGAAATTTGACCCCTTGATTATTACACCTAGGCTGTTACTCAGCCCTTTTAACTGAGAATTAGAACTCTATCTCCCCCCAGCTACCTAGGAGGGGCTATACTTACAGAGAACAGTGCCTATATAGACACAGTGCTGAGGTCACGAACTGAGCCTCCCATCTTATATAGCAGAGTCTAGATACTTTGTAAAGCATCTGAGTAACCTGCCAATAGGAGAGGGAAACTATTGGGAAGTCTGGATGTGAAGGCCCTATACATGAACATCTATACAATTATTTGGGCTTAGCAGCATGTAGACACTTTTTGGGATAGAAGGAAGTACATTTCCAGAGACTTTCGGACTTTGTGCTCAACCTTCTGGATTTTGTATTGACTATTTCCGGTTTAATGAAACCATGTTCCAACCTGTGTGAATCTATTCCTTGGATGGTGGGAGGCAAAAATAGTATTTGTGGAAGAACTAGGCGATTACACATCCCACATGTTTCATTGATAACATATTCTTCCTGTGGCAGGGGCCCAAAAGAGGTTCAGTGACTTTGTGAGGAAATGATAACCAGATAGGGATGTTCTGCACAATGACATCCAGGAGAACTTCCTGGATCTGGCAATATATAGGGATCAAAATAGGATGTTAGAGATGAAGATTTTTCGTAAACCGACATTTGAAAACACACATTTCTTCATTGAAAGAGTTACCATCCAGCCACCCTGAAGTAGGGGATTCCAGTGGAGCAGTTTATCAGAACAAGTAGGAACTGCTCTGTTAAAGATTTTGAGGAGGAATGTAATGTCCTCTGGAATAGATTCAAAGCAAGGGGGTAACTGGATAAGGTCCTTAAACACACCTAATACATGGCAAAAAACAAGAAAAGGATCTAATCTGGATTAATGGTGATTATTCAGCACAGTCACACAAGATACGGTATATTCAATCTTCTTTTACAAGATAAAAGATTGGAATATACACCTGGCAGAGGCCAATTATTACATATAGGAGAGAAAGAAATTTATGTGACAGACTGGTATATAGCCATTTGAACAGGATTTTGAGTAAGAAGAGAGTTGACTGTGATAGAAACTGGCTGCCAGGCCCAACGACAGGATCACATAGATGTGGTCACTGCAAGCCATGCACATACATGCTGACAGTTAAGAACTTTGAAAACCCCAAGAATAAGGAGAGAATAGAAATCAAAACATTCCTGAATTGTAGTTTATCAACATTGGTGTATGACCAAGTGCCCATGCAACCTTTTATATGTTTGCAAGAATATTAGGCTATTGAAAAGGATAGTCTTGGAACATATCGGCAATATAGCCTTCAAAAAGAATAAACCAATACCACTTCACATGTGGGAAATGCATGCAGGAAAACAGATGATCTGATATTCTAGGAAATTGGGAGTGTAAAACTGGATCCTAGATAAGGAATCAATTTTTCAGTTGGGGACAATAAGTTTGAATGGTTCGAATGAGGGTTTTACATTTACCCCATAATTTGACATAAAAGTGAAAAACCCGTTTGTGTTAAAATTTTCTATCTGTTGGTTTAAAATTGCTAAACATGCAATAAAAAAGGAATAAAAATGCAAATCAGCATATGGTAAATGGATGAGATATTTGGGTGTATATGTATATGGTGAACAGTAGAGGGCACCTGAGGACCTGTGGTGAGGTCCTATATGGTTATAATGAAGGGCAGTGGACATACGCTCACTGGCAACTTTATTAGGTACACCTTGCTAGTGCCAAGAAAATATTCGCCACACCATTAAACCACCAACCTGAACCGCTGATAAAAAAAAAAAAGATATGCTTCTTATGGAGCCACTCCCTGGTTATCCTGGCTGTGTGCTTCTGGTCGTTGTCATGTTGGAAAACCCAGCCACGACCCATCTTCAATGCTCTGAGGGAAAGAGGTTGTTGCTCAAAATCTCACAATAAATTGCCCCATTCATCCTCTCCTTAATACAGTGCAGTCGCCCTGTCCCCTTTGCAGAAAAGCACCCCCAAAGCATGATGTTACCACCCCCATGCTTCACAGTAGGGATGGTGTTCTTGGGATGCAACTCATCGTTCTTTTTCCTCCAAACACGACGAGTGAAGTTTAGACCAAAAAGTTCTACTTTGGTCTCATCTGACCACATGACTTTCTCCCATGCCTCCTCTGGATCATCCAGATGGTCATTGGCAAACTTCAGACAGGCCTGGACATGTGATGACTTGAGCAGGGGAACCTTCCGTGCAATGCATGATTTAAAAACCATGACGGTGTAGTGTTCTACCAACAGTGACCTTTGAAACTGTGGTCCCAGCTCTCTTCATGTCATTGACCAGCTCCTCCCTTGTAGTTCTGGGCTGATTCCTCACCTTTCTTATCATCAGTGATACTCCACGAGGTGAGATCTTGCATGGAGCCCCAGTCCGAGGGAGACTGACTGTCAGGAATGGACTTGCCAATAGTGGTGGGACTCACCTGCCTTGTGGGCTGCAGTACCAGGGCTGGCCAACGGGTGCTCTCAATAACCAGAGGTTCACTTTGGCAATTAGCCATCACCTGGGGCTGATTGCAGGTGTATTTAAGGGATGGCCAGACCTGCAGTCTGTGCCTTGGTGTGTGTTTTTCCATGGGCCCCTGTACCTTGTAACCTGCATTCCTGTTCCTGTTCCTGCCTGACTTGTTGCCGACCCTGCCTGATCCTGACCTCTGCTGACTTCTCCTGTTTGATCCCTGACTTGTGACCCTGACCATTCTCTCTGCCTGCTCCTCCTGTACCTTCCTGCCCGATGGTTTTCCATCATTTATGACAGTTTTTGACTTGCTCCCATGGTATGTGCTCTTTGTGCTTATGACTACAGTGTTTATTTACATGCCAGACAGTAGACTACAAATTCTGAAGAGCATGTGTGGAATGCAGCAATCTTGTATGTTTTACCTTTTTATGTGAAATTCTTTTTGGCCATGTTGGACAAATGGGCATGTTAGACAGAGAGGTTTATTACATCGATACATGCCAACAATCGAAAAAAGTCAGAAGAAGGTGTCTGACTGAATAGGCTTTAGTTTACTGGGTGCCAATTTGCTTTGATGTCACAAGCTTTCCTATAAGAAAAAAACGGGTTTAGTAGGTATGCTATTGAGCAGATGTGGGTCTTGTAGAAGTATGGCCCAATGTTTTCTTACTATCTTTTCCATATGTGTGTGATAGCTGTGGAATTGGGTAGTGAACCTGATGGTGGGGTTACTCTCACCTGAATGACGGTAGGTGGTATTAGGACCTGTAGTGTAAAGTGATTGGGCTGCATCAATGAGTGGATAGATAACCTTTTTCTAAGAATTTGTCTTTAAGGGCAATGCTTTGTAGTTGATAATCCTGAAGTTTAGTACAGTTATGGTGAAGTCTACAAAACTGACTTTTGGGAATGTTATTCAACCACCTGGGGTGGTGACAGCTTTTGTAGTGTAAAAAGGAATTGCCAGCGGTGGGTTTGGAATAATTTTTGGCAAAGATACGGTCATCTTCATGACACATGAGCAGGTCAAGAAAAGCTAGAGTGTTTTGGTCTATCACAGAGGTGAATGTTGAACCCATGTTGTTGGAGTTACAGTGGGTAACAAACTGTTGGACACTGTCGATATCACCATCCCAAATGATGATGATGTCATCAATGTACCTGCCATAATAATGTGAGCGGAATGTGGATTGTTGTTCCAGATGTGTAAAAACTCCCAGTATCCCATGGTTAGGTTTGCATATGAGGGGGCTGTCAGGGCTCCAGGTATGACCAGAGGTGTGTGGACTGACACAGGGAAACGC